AAAATTCTGATCAAATCAAAACATTGTTTCATTTTTTATATTCCTTATAAATGTTTAACCAAAAAAGCTGGAACCCTTCCGAAACGCTTTCTTCTCCAAGCGATTCTTTTTTTAAAATCAGTTTGTTCCTGCAGAAAATGTCAGTGCTGGCACAGCATTTTCTGATGGAAACATGTCTCATTAAAAAATGTTCACTCAAGTCTAGCACGGAGATCTCTGGATGGAAAGTAATTTAAAGCACAAAATATCACTATTACAGGGAGCTGTGGGATGGATTCTCACTTTAGTTCCTGAAAGGTGAATGTTGCCTGTATTTATTGTGGTGAGAGGTCAATAGTTTCTTCTCATGTTATCAACAAATCAGCTGTTTCACTTCTCTGTGTACCTAGTACTTCTACAAGTATTGTGAACCTAAAACAATTCAAACCTTTCCCACTATGCTAATTCCAAACTAGTCTATTCTTTGAGCTGATCTGCTTGCTGATCCCACAGAACTCACCTTCTCCTACACAGCCTAATTGACTCCCCTGGAGCTACCTCCCACTTGCTTTATGGTATTTATATGGCCTCTGAATCCTTAAACACCTTCCCCTACACACTGAAATTATCAGGCCTGCTATTCAGGGTTCCAGTTGGGATCCAATAGTCAGTTCTGTCTTTTGTGCTGCATTCCCTTATTTATGCACGATTAGTTAACTGAAACAATTTTTAAAAGAGAGAGAAGAATCAGGATACATTATTCTGTTCCTTTAACTCTTAACTTGTGTAAATAGAGTGAAGGGGAATAATGCATCTCATCACAAGCTCAAATACTGTTTCACATGCAGCACTCTGTGAAGCCAGTAATGACTCAATGAAGAGAGAGTGAATTGGACCCTGAACCTGCAAACAGCTTACACTATAAAGAAAGGCTGATCCCATACTTACGAAATTAACACACTGACAAAAGCATCTAATCTCATACAGTAATGTGCTCCACACTAAATCAGTGACTGGTTTGGAATCACTTCATAGGAGATTAGCCTAGCCACATACTGTTTCAAGCCAGTACTACTGACGTGCTGGACTGCACTGACCTCTTATAGGATCCCAATGAAAAGGCGGCTGCAGCTGCTTATCACTTCCCCAAATGAGCTTCCCATTACCAGGAAGCCTCTTGTTAGCATCTGCCGGTGCGGAAGCCAGCACAGACTTCAGATGGATGCAGCCCATCATGACAGAGTTCCCCTTTTTGGCATAGTATTTGTTCTACCAGAACAGAACACAGCTCCATCAAGTCAATCTTTCTCTCTCTAACTGGAGCCAGTGCATGATCTTTCACAGTACAAAATAAAATTTTGTATCGCCAAACCAGTCATGCACTGCTGAATGTATAAGGGATGGAGCTGGCTTCTTTCTGTCCCTTGTGGTGATCAGCTCCTATCCTACAATATGGCATTTGATTAACCTTGAAATCAAACATGCAGTAATAAAATAACCAAGTTGAACATGCTGGCAGGGAGTGGGGAGAGAAGCGGCATGGAGAAAGTTGCTTTGTTTGTTTGGTAGCCAATGCGTGTTGCTAGGTGGCAGAGAGCATCAAGGCAGAGTCATGACTGGCAGCAGGAAAACAAATTCAGTGTATGCTGGTAGTGAAGGGTAAAAAAATATGTAGGGTAGGTAGGCTGTGAAATAGAATGAAAGGAAAGGAAAAACAGAAGACTTTATTGCTACTGCAGTTCACAAAAAATAGCTCTATATTTTTTAGTCAAATAGACACTCTTAGTTCCATGCTTCTTTCAACCCAGGACATACAAGAGCAGAGGGTTAATTCAGATGAAATAAGAATAGATGTTCTTCAAATGCAAATACAGGAAGGAACAACTCCTACCCCACTCCTGTATCATTGGGGAATTGTACAGTGATTGTCAGGGTACTTTGCATCATCTTTAACTCTCAATGGTTAAGATACTGCATGCTAGAAAACTTCTAAACCATATTCTCATACCTAGAACTCACCACATTATAAGATGCAAAATTCAGCACAGGTTCCCCAAAATATTCACTGAATCAATCTGTAAAGCTGCAACTAAGTTAGTTTAGGATGGCTTCTGGTTTCACACTGAAACAAGGAACACTTCAGCTATTTTGACAAGAAGCACAACCACAGCAAAAGTCTTCAAATAAAGTTCCAAGCTGGAAGCAAGCTTTGCAGTAAGCTTCCATCTTCACAATGGGCTAAACAATCCAACTTCTTTTTCCCCGCTCATGAGCTTTGAGCAGTTTCACATACTGTAAGATGGTCTGATCTACCTTTGCAGTTCTAGACCATGGCTAGTTCCAACTGCATCTTGTTTTGAGGGTTTTTCAGTTTTGGGGTTTTTTTTAATAACTCCTCCAAACTCAATTACTAGAAAAATCACATGAATTTACAACAGAAACAATAGTTACTGCTGCTTTTGTGGTTTGAACCAGCTGTTTTTAATTGTTCTCAAGTGCTCCCAACTGTGTAAAATATACTCCAAAGAAAGAACATCTAAAGTCACCAAATTCCTACTGAACATCCAATTACAACCCAGCAGCAACAAGCATAATGCAAAATGACCTGTGCTCCTAGGGCTGCTAGATCTCTAATGAGTCTCACTGGGAAGTTATGCTCTACTGGGAACTTCTCTTCCCAGCATGCTTGTCTGAAGATAGCCCTTTAAATTTGGTAAAGACAATGGGTATTATCCCAATAAAGCTATTTCATACCTAGACGCTACCTCTTTCTTCCTCTAGCCAATATGTTATTGAATCCTCTGAATGTTTTCCTCTTCTCAGGCTGAGGGGCAGGTACATTCTCAGCACTTGAATTTCCACATGAGAGACCAAATCTTCCTTGCTGAACTTATGTGAATGCTCGCATTGAAGCCAGCGAGGTGAATGAGACTTGGCCCAGTACATTACAGCTTCACTGTCCTGTGATATCAAAGAGATCCAGACCAACACAAGATGGGGAGGTGTGTGGGAAACCATTGAATGCAACAGAAGAGAGATGGGTTTATTTTTAATCCTATTGTTCATTTCACATGTTACGCTGTTTGCATAGTTTCTAAAGCTGCTGCTAGAGCAGCAAGTTGCACTGTATTTTTTACAGCTGCTATCAATCTCACTGGCCTGGGTGTAATCCCCCAAAATTTAACTATTACATAATCATTAACAAACATCAGTTTTTTGACTGGGGCACATTATTATGAGTAAAATCTCTCTCCTATTAAGTGGTGACCTAAATTTTCAAAACTGACTAATAATTTCAGATGCTTCTTTCTGGGCACCCAACCTGAAAGGTTATGATTGTTCACTCATCCACTGGTGAACATCCATTCAGGTCCCCTTGAACTGAGTCAAGCCAATTATTCAAAAAAATGTAGTACCCCAAATCAGTAGAAAATCTAATCTGCATAATTGATATGTATTCTGTCTATAGTAGTGACATCAGGACTCCCAGTCAAAAATTAGGGCTCTGTTCAAGCAAACACCCAAGACAATAAGTGATGGACTGTATATATCCCAGATTGGCAGACAAAGGGCTAATGGAAGCCTGTGAGCTCAATTAGCTTCGTGGCTGCATCTAGGGTGCAAGTCAGGGGGTTGAGTTATCGGGCATAGCTGCGAGGGAGTTAACTGCCTTCAGAAGGGGGCCAGAATATCTCAGTGGGGTGAAGGCACAGGCCTAGGCCAGTTTCTTGCACAATGGCAGTGGACCTAGTTACATTGGGAACTGCAAGATATCCCGCCCCAATGGCTGGAGAGCCACTAAGGGAACAACTAGATTTTTGGGGCCACAAATGACAAAACAGGCACAGGAGAACAGGTTAATGACCAGGGGGCCAAGGGAGGACACCAAGCAAAAAATTCTAGCTGCCACCACCACCAAGGGTTCCACCCTTGAAGAAGAGGAGGTCTGAGACCTTACTGAGTGAGACTGAGAAGCAAGAGGTGTCCAGGAAGCTCAGGTCTGATATGGATACATGTTTGGTTGGGTGATGGGTTAAGTTTGGCTGGGTTGGGTGCCCCCCCACCTTCAGCCCTGCTGGTAGACTCCAGGGAAAACCCCCCTTTTTTTTTTTTTACTCCAAAAAGAAAAGTGGAATTGAAGAGGCACCCAGGAAGGAAAGCTGTGGCAAGGAAACCTGTTTGCATGGGATGTCTGAAAACGATGAAAATCCGTAATGCTGAATGATGAAGGGGGGCAGACCCAAGCAGTGGGTCTCTTCCATGCAGTCCCTCTCCAAAGAGCTTATAGTGCTTAAGAATAGCTGCACTTCAGACCGAGCCCGCTGGTGGGCCTGAAGCAGCACATCAGAAGCATCTACCACCTAGGCAAACCGTTGTTTCATACAAGCCAGAGTATTCTCCCATAAGAGGAGAATACTTCAAAAACATCACTTGTGACTTTCTTTAATAAGTGAAGGGGGGCAGGGGAATCTGAGGCAGGATTAGATACCAGATAAGGTATGGCCCTGCTGCAGGTCTGCCACTTAACTATTTTTTTTGTGGCGCTCAGTCAATGCAGGCTATGCAGTTTTGAGAATCCAGACTTTGATGCAGTAAGTAATGTTTGACAGAACCTCATCCAACCCCCTATAGTTTGCCTCAATCCCCTCACAGTTTAAAGGCAAGAAGTGAATCTTGTATTATGAGAAAAAACAGATGCACATGGTATTAAAGGAGAACCTCTGTGTATATACAACTAGAAATGAAAGTTAACTCCCTTTCAAGCTGCCACATCTTTTGCCACAGCTATGGATATTTTTTATAATCCAAGCTTTGAAAGAAGAGGAGAATATGTTTCATGAATTTTTATAAGCTCAGCTTCCTTCCTGCTATTTTTTATACCAGCAGTGTGACAAGCTCCATTCTTGCCTGATCCACACCCCAGATCTTAAAATATACCCACATTACAATGTATGGCGCACACACCCCCTCCCACCCCCCACCCTCCCAAGGGAGGCTTAGTTAAATGTCTTGTTACTTACTTGTCACAAAGGGAGTTGATGGAGCCTTTGGAACTACAGCCACACAGAAGGCAGAGCCCACTAGTTTGATTCAGGTAATAACCCGCCTTGCAGCTGTCACAAAACAGACCTGTGTAGCCCTCGTGACACTCACACTGTCCTGTTGAGGTGTTGCACTCATTCACGCTTACACTCCCGACAGAACTGCAGTTACACAGATAGCCTGCAAAAGGAAAGAGAATGTGAAACTAACATGCTCTGGTCACAAAATGAAGTATGACTATTAAATATATCTAAATAATTCCCATGTTGCCAGGAGTAAACCTGTGATCAGACTGGGGTCCTAGTTCTGTGTATATAGCTTTAAAATGGGATTGGGCAACTCATACGCAGTGCAGGACCAGAAGCCATGGTTTAAACTCATGAGATTGGCTTTAAAAATCTGAATATTTGTGAGCGCCTCACAGTTATTAATGGATTTCTCTTCCTAACGCTCCTATAAGATGTGGCAGTATTATCTCCATTTTATGAATGGGAACAGAGCACTGAATTCCCAGAATAAGGACCTTAGTATCCAAAAAGAGAAGCACGCTGCTTGCTGAAATCTTCTTCAATCCTTGACGTAAGAGTCACAATGAGAGCTTCTTGATACTGCAAGTTTCAATCCCTGGTGCTTATTCTGGTACCTGCACAAAAGCTGGGCACCTAAGAGTCTAGCCCTAAATGACCTGCCCATAGTCAAACTGGAAAACTGAACAAATATCTGCTAAGACCCAATCCACTGCTGTAAATACAATCCTTCCTCTTATTAACTAAAATATAAAACGGCCAATTTTAACCTGGGTGTCAACAGGTGCAAGTTCAATGCAGCCAATCGAGTTATAGCAGCACTGTCATCTTATCCTGCTAGACCCATATGCACACAGCTCCCACTAACTTTGGTGGAACTTCTTCACTTTGGAACATTTCTAGACTGAGGCCAAAAAAAAAAAGATCATACTTCCTGGTTGGAAATATTCAGTCCATACAGACATCAGTCCCTATAAATCTTTAAAAGCATTTACTGTAAAAAGAAAAGAAAATTAGCCCCAGCAATTTTTTAACCGACATCATTATTTTAGCTCCCTTTCTTTATTGGAAAATATTTGATGCTTAATAATTCAAAGTATTTATCTGCTAAGACTGAATTAAATATAAGGTTTGTTTTCAACCATGGTAAATTGATTTTCAAGGGATTTAAGCAATTCTGGATTATTGGTTAATATTTACTGGGAGCAGCAGGTGTGTTTGAAACTGTACAAACAGAGGAAGATGCCTTGTCTCAGGAACCTGAAGCTTACTGGGACTTTGCCAGAGTAAGGAGTGCTCAAGAGAACATAAATTTAATGATATACTTCATTATTAGTATTTTACAATGTTATTGCACACTTAGGCCTCAATCCAACAGTTTGCTCCTATTCAACAAAGCACTTAAGCATGTATTTAGCTTTAGGCACATGCTTCAATCCTGTTGACTTCACCGTAACTTGATCTAACTAGCCACACACATAAATGATGTGCTGAATTAGGAAGGGTTTAAAAATGTAATTATAAATTTTGTGGAAAGGAGACTTTCCTGAAGACTACAACATACCTTTAGAAACAACAGCAGTAAGTTTATCCATTTCACAGATGAATTTACGCATTTACCCATTTTGTGATGGCTCCTCTTGAAATATTTATAGGATGTGAATTATAGATATATTTGCCTAATTAGCTATAAAAGTTTAAACAAATTTCTGGTACATTTTAGACTCAGTGTACAAAGAATAAAAGCATTAAAAAACTCTTCTCCATATTAGTTTTTTTTTATTCATACCCAAGTAAAACCAGAGAAACTGCACCAAAATTCATGGCTTTTCTGCATTACACAGAATTGGGCTTAATTTTCTTCAGTCAAAATTAGCCGATAAGACCAACATTATCCAGCGTAGCACCCACTCCACAATATAAACTAAATCCCACTGAATTCAAGGGATGTTGCTTCAGTTTTTACAGCACTTGTCAAAAATATTAATTACTTTTCAAAACTCATTATATATTGTCTATATTTATCCATCACAAGCTTGATAAAAAAAAAAAAAAAAAAAGACACCAGATCAAGTTTAACAGTACTACTAAATGCTAGGAGGGCCATTAAAGTGTTGCAGAATAGAAAGACGAAGATGATATATTGCTCCACATTCAGACGATCTCATTGCTGCAGCAGCATAACATTGTAGATCATTGCTTGCTGTTAGACTACAAGTCTAGATTTCATAAAAGACTACAGAAGTGTCCAAAACCAAATCAGCCTCTGTTTGATATTCAAACAGCTCTACAGGAAAGCCAGGGGTAGTAGTCAAATGTTTTCTCTTATTAAAAATGTCACAATCCTGCTGTCATCAGTGTAGTTGCATGAGAATAGCAAGAGAATTTGGACTTCATTAACAAGCAGATATGTTTTGGCTTAAATAATGTATCTAGTATTAGTTCTGCTATTTTAAGGAATCAAAAAGGTGTCAAATGCAGGACTCTGGCCCTATTTGTTGTCCAAACTCATGCTAATGAGAAGTGATTTACAGTATTAGGTTTATGACTGAAAGGGTGGACTGAGCAGGGTGCTAGCCTAGGACTCAAGGTGCTAGCTCAGGGTCAGTCCCCTCCTGTATTCCAAGACTTCTAGTGGGACCAAGTTGCTTAGTTTTTCTCAATACCCTAATTTGCCATATACAAAACTGGGATGGTAGCACTTTCCTTCTTCACAGGGATCCTACAACTATAAATACACTAAAGACTGTACAGTGCTTAAATATGACAGTAATGAAGGCTAGACAAGTACCTTTGACACACAGGTCTTGAGTACTACAACTAGAAAAAAAAAACAACAAACCACATGTAAGTCATCTTTTGTGTTATATTTTAGGTCTCTACTATCAATGTTATGTCTCTTAAATCAACTTTCAAAATTACAGAAATACCACCAAAGGCTTTGCCTAAGATACTTAGTGTGGCAAAAGAGATCTGTAGTCTTTCATCAACATTTCCATACACAAAACATTTCAGCTACTCCCATTTCAACGTAGGCTGTTTGTTTCACATAAATTCTGCAAAAGGGGATATAACCAGTGACAGCATCTATCTGGGTTCAAGAACTTGCAGGAGCATAATCTATATAAAAAAATATTCTTTGCTCTACTAGGTTTCATCATCACAGTACTTGAATGCCCTAAGCAATATGCAGTAAACTGTAACTGGCCTCTGTCCCATACGGTAATTTCCTTCTTTATCCCTTCCTCTCCTGGTAGGAAAGGGCAGTTTTACATGTAGATTTTGTCCAATACAAAAAGTGGCGTATGTTTATCTTGGTAAGTGGAAGATGAATAAATTGTTCTGGGTACAACAGGCCCAATTCTCAGCTATAAAAACAGGAGTAGCTCCATTAACTCCCATGGAGTTATGCAAATTGACAGGCGCTGATGATCTGACCTAGCATACGATAAAACAGCTGTAGGTACAAAACGCAGAAAGGTACACAAAGAACTTGCACAAATCCCCTATCAGCTACTGATATCAATCATACTCACAGTATACTCTTAATACACCAACCTGAAAATTATGACAGGTAGGAAGGAGATCTGGAGAGGTATCTGTCTAAGGGCAATTCACCCCAGTTGATAGTAATCAAAAGATTTCAAAGACCCCGGTCCTTCAACTGGGTGCCTCATGTAGCTTTGAAACAGCATTTTGTTCAAATGTCTCATCAAATATCTTTTGCTGTCTCCCAACAGAGGAACACATGAGATGAGAACGCAGAAATGACTGTGGTTGTAGCAGGAGCAAGATTTTAGATGGCAGGAGTCTGGACTCAGAAATCCAACGAGAATTCGCACTTTTTAATCTAACACATTGAAATTGATTGATTTTGCTTTGTTAAGAGTCACCAGAACAGCACTTAGAATAAACACAAAAAACCCTGGACTGTTTGATGCTAGATATTTTGCTTTTCAGGTTAAGTGCCCTTAACTACCCTAAGATCCTGGACAGATTGTTTGTTAATATACAGTCATGTTGGGGCTCATCCACCTAGAAGGGCATACCACTGTATTGAGTCAGTTATATTGACACAAACAGGAAGAATTTATTTTCCATCATCTCTTCAATGAGACAGCATATTTGCTTTTGTAAAAGTTAGCCACAGGAAAATTAATTGAAGACAGGCAATGTGCAAAAGCCTTATGTGTCTTCCATAATTTATTAGAGAAGCTAAGTCATCTAAACAAAAGTCTTTGGTCCTCTCCAATCACTGACAATAGCCCAAATAATTGGAATGTCATCATTATTCAATACCCTGCCACATCTCCACACAGACTGCAGACCAGCAAAGAGGTACTGGAGCAGTGGTTCTCAACCTTTTTAGATTCAAGGCACTTCTGAACAGTCTTGAGGCACCCCTAAATAGATTCAAGGCACACCTTGGAAAATGCCAGCTCTTAGTTTTCACTTGTTTTGCTTTGTTTTACTACAGAAAAAGAACAGGGCAATTCTTCTGTTGCAAAGAATTTAGAAAAATCACAACCCCCACGTCCCTACTTACCTGGGACACAGTCTGGGCCCGGATCACCTCTGCAGCCTTGCCCCACTCTTACTTGCCCCAGCACGTTGGGGCAGCAGGGCACAGGGCAGCCAGGGATGCTCTGGCCAGGTGCCAAAGTGTCTCTCTGGAGGACCTAGCCTCTGGGCATGCTCCAGGAAGGTGCTCTACACTGCTTTTTTTTCCAGCAGGGTTGTTTTCGTTTTCTTTGATACCTGGATTTCCAGATATCAAATTTAGAGTCTGTGCTGCAAATATGCAGTGCAGGGAACATTTTTCCATTCCCAGAGTAGGAATGGAAAAGCAGTCCGAGATGCCACAACAGGCACATGCATGCTCGTTTGGCCATGCCCTCTGGGTTTATCGTGTGAATCATGTTTGCACACTTAACAGTGCCAGCTGTGTGGTATTCTTTAGCCTCCTTGAGAGAATCTCAAGGGCTCCCAAGGTACTATGGCACCTGCTTGAGAATTACTGCTCTAGAACAATGGCTCCCAAAATGTGGCTTGCAGACCAAAAAAGCAAGCCCTTTTCATGTGGACCGCCCTTTTGAAACGGTCCTTTGGAAACCCCTGGTCTAAAGGAGGAAGATGGCTACACCAAGGCACTGC